TATATATATATATATATATATATATATATATATATATATATAAATAAAATTATATATCTCTATATACATAAATAAAAAATAATAATAATAAAAAAAAAAATATATATATATATATATACACACATACACACACATAAAATGTTCAGAGGTGCTAGGATAAGAAATCAGACAGAGGTATAACTTACATTCTTGACCCCACCTGACCAAAATGTATGTATATATATATGTGTATATATATATATATATATATATATATATATATATATATATATATATATATATATATAAAGTCCTGTTGTCTCCTTGCACACACACTTCAATAATTTTCTGCCTGGTGCTTTCAAGCCAATGCCAAAAATATACAAAAATATAGGTAACAGAAGGCAAGCACTCACGGTCTTGTGGTCTCTTTAAAAGGATTTTCTTTATTTCATAGGTAAAACTTGATTGACGTTTCAGCCAAACTTGATGGCTTTCAGGAGTTGTTAAGATCCTGATGAAAGCCATCAAGTTTGGCTGAAACGTCGATCAAGTTTTACCTATGAAATAAAGAAAATCCTTTTAAAGAGACCACAAGACCGTGAGTGCTTGCCTTCTGTTACCTATATTTTTGTATATATATATATATATATAGTAATTATTTTTACAATAATATCATATGATTGATTTATTAATAATTTACTAATACCGGATAATTATCTATTACATTTACCCCGGTTTGTTTGTTGTATCAGTATTTTACTTGTTCCATATTTTTTGTTAATTTTATTATAAAAATGTTAAATCTTTCAATAAAAACTATTAATAAATAAATAAATGACAGTGGGAGACCCAAAAAAAGACAGGTTCCAAAATTAGAACTGTTTCTCACAGCTAACTCTAGCGTTTATAGCTCACCTAATTTATAATAACATGATCAGTTCAAAGGGTTACTCTAACCAACATGGCCACTTCTGCTTTTAGAAGTGGTCATGGTGTTAGAAATCTGTATGTAAAGTGGTTTTGCTCTAAATGGTTCTCATACAGAGATATTTGCACTGTTGTGTCGGTCTTTAGTTGCCAAGAAATCTAATATCAATTCTGTGCAAAAAAATTACATCTATGTCTTACGGACCCAGCTCACTGACAACAGACATAACGAGCTTCTCCATTGCAGGCAGCACACTTGCAAGGGGAAAATTCTTTATTTTTATTTTTATTTTTTTATAACAAATTCCCTCCCTCTGTCCACCCACTCCCACTCTGGATTAGAAAGCATGAATGCATTATAAGCCGGTAAAACGGTCCATTCAAATGCTTCTCTATGTAAAACATATGATTGGACCACAGAGAGAGAGGCTGTGACATTGGACAAGGTGTAGAATCCAAAAAATATTCTTTCTCTGAACAAATCAGATAATTAAGTTTGCTGATAGATGGACTTTTAACGAAATATCTGCTAATTGTCTTATAACTATTACAGATAAGAGGAGGACCTACTATTGAGTTTATTTGGGTAATACGTTGTTTGAGATTCATGAACCTCCACTATGTTTAACTAAAACATACTGTTAAATTAAGGGTTAATGTACATATTAAAAAATAATAATAATTTGTATTAGATGAAGCTTTAAAGGAAAACAGTCACTTGAAAGGATTTTTAATATTATGTTTACGAATCCCCTTATTTAAAAAATATTTGATAGAAATAAAAAACAAAAACAAAACAGCAGCCCATTAAAAAGGTTAATACAAGTTCTAGGAGATTTTCATTGTATTATTCAATGGTGTACATTCCAGAGATTGCGACGTTCCCCCTTTAGGTGTTTACAATAACATCCTATACAAGTAATTGCAGGTTTCTACATCCATCAACCACCAACGCGAGGAGAACATAGCTGAGGCAGGTTAAAATAGGTTAATAAAACAGATATTTATTAATTGATGTAGCCATGATCTTCAGAAGTAGCTGGGGAAGTACAAATTAGCTACACCTTCATTGGACTATACACCCTGATGGTTGTTGCTGTCTTCATTAAGTGTACTCCAACTAGAGCAACTAAAAATGCCCATTACATAAAACAAATTATTTGAGAGAGAGAGAGAGAGAGAGAGAGAGAGAGAGCTATTACCTGTAAAGAAGAAGCTCACAGATTCTGGCAGACCTGAATACAAAATAAAGAGATTTCATATGACAACAGCATAAAACAAAAACCAATTGCTGATATTTAAGTGTTATCTAAATTGTATCAAAACTAGTAATACATGCAGTACATTATTAGTTTCATATAAAAGCAGTAAATCCGGGACAATGTTCTAATTGTGGAACTAAAAACATGAACATTCCATTGGTTCCCATGGTGATAGCTCCATTTTTAGAATTTATAACTACATTCGGTTGATATAAACCAATCAAATTAGGTGTTATTAAAACTAAACATCAAATTCTACGAGTTGTACCAGCCTTTGACCTCATTTCATATTATTACAACTGGACTGCCTAAAAGTCACTTTCTCAATGACAATTCATGGAACACTTTAAAGGCATAAAAGTAGTACATCTTGCTCGCTGTGTGAAGAGGGTATCCGTTTTCTTTTTATACTTTACACTTTTATAAATTAACTTTGTTACACCTCCCCAACTGTCAGTCCGATATCTTCTCTTACTTACCTATATTATGATTCACTGAGATCTTGGCATTTAGTTTTTTCGTAAAAGGTCAACGTGTAGTTTATATTATTTACCTGTTGTGAGAGTCATGGGCTCTTTTCTGATTAATGGGAGTCCAAAGGACCATCAGTTATCTTATTAATTCAAGCCCACCAACTAACAGCAGGTTGGAAGCAAAGGGTGGGAAGGACTTTCCAATTCCGTGCTTATCATTAAATTATACCCCAACACACATGCAGTGGTTAAATGGTGATAAACAATCATTGGTCCCCTTTTATTCCTGGTTAGAAGGATAGTTGACTTTGGTAATCTGGTCATCCTAATAACCAGAAGTAAAAGGGGGCCCAATGATTGGTTATCACCATTTACACGCTGTATGTGTGTTGGGATTTTGGTTAATAATGAGCACGGAACAGTAAAGTTCTCTTTGCTTCCAGCATGCCTTGAGTTGGTGAAGTTGGATTAAATTCCATGCATTAATGGTTTGCTCTTTGACAGCTGACTTTGCTAAAAAAAAAAGCTAAACTGTATTGAAAAGAACTCCTGGAACACCACGTTCAAAAAGTTATGTGACTCTTCTGCCATCACTATTAGACCAACAATATTTTACCCGTGGTCTTAGTCAAGTAAAAAATAATGCTGTGATAATGATGATTGTGGAATAGAGAGTCACAATATCTTGCAAAAATATACTGTTTTAAAGTTTAGAACCAATACTGCTAAAATGTCTACTAATTTGGACCTAGAAAGGGAACATAACTGAGTAACCACAATAGCTGAGTAGTGCACATTCCTAATAATTAGCAAATTATTCTAAGTTGGCTGTCAAAAACATCATGAGGGGTATCTGGATCATCTCAAGTCTGTAATCTTTTACCCTCACTAAGTAATTGTGGACAGCATTCTATGGACTAGCTTTAAATTGTCATATTTTCTCTAAAAAATTCCTATCAAAAGTCAGTGGAATGTCAAGATTTAATGGTTAGACACTACCTATTTTTACAACTTGTAAAGATATAATTGATTCATAGTGCAATTCCCCCCCCCCCCAAAAAAAAGAATATTCCTCACCTGTGAAGGAATAGTCCACAATGTCACTCAGACGTGGGGATGCTCTTGGGGGACGATACGCAATATTCCCTTGGTTAATATCTGCCTGAGTGAAGTGCCTTACAAAGGTCAGAGGCTTTTCCTTGTGTTCCAGGGTACCTGGAAACAAACAGAGCGATGACTCACTTACAGATGGGAGTAATAATATAGATGTTAAAAAGTAAATGCACAAAGGTAGCTGCTTAGTGACTTTAAAAAAAGAATTCTCATAAACTGAATTATAAAGAACACAAATACCAAAATTACTATTAAATATTTATTAAACATAAAGACTTCACAATCAGTAAAATTCAGGACCAATCTAAATATATACATATGGAACAATAAAACATTGTGTGCATGAACAACTACAGTCCATCAAGTATATTAGAGAACATGTCCCTGTATATCAACCTTTAACTCAAAACATCATATCAGGGGTTCCCAACCCAGTCCTCAAGTACCCCTAACAGTCCAGGATTTAGAGATTACCCTGTTATGTCTAAAGTTTTTTTTTTCTTCTTCTTAAATCACCTTAGACACAACAGAGAAATCCCTAAATTCTGGACTGTCTGGTGGTACTTGAGGATTGCGTTGGGGACCACTGTCATATATTAAACCTAGGGCTCTAAGAGAGCAAAAATTAAGTTTCTCCATAGTTATGTTCCCTTCGATGAATACTACCAAAACTATCTGCCAATATAGTGACTGAATGGCTGGGGCTTGTGTGAGGAATACCCAGGCTCCCAAGATCTTGATTCATAAATACACTGAATAATTTATTGGAAATCCATCCGGTGCTTAATTTTTTCATTTGACTATATCAGTGTTGGGCAGCCCCTTGATTAAAAAGATACAAAGATAAATGATTATTATATTTTTTTGGCAGAGTGCCAGGCTGATCACTTGTTTATATGTCATATTTATATACCTGTGTGTGTATATGTATATATATATATATATATATATATATATATATATATATATATATATCATACAAAATACACAATCCAGCCCACCGTTTATTCATTAAACAATGATTTCAAATCTCACAGATTGTAATTGTTATTTAAAAACACCTCACCTAGGGAAAAAATAATGGTGGTTTAGTTACATTATATGATCTTATATTGCATAAGCCTGCCACAACATCAATGTACCCTATTCTTGGCAGGTCCTACTCTAGCAGCCTAATGCCTGCCCTTATGAGATCAATCCACTTACTTGGAAACTACTTCCTCCTTGGACTCTTTGCAGGTCAATGTTAAATCCTGGATTGAGGCACCTGTGATGTGTGTGTATATATATATATATATATATATATAGGTATATATATATATATATATATATATATATATATACACACACATCACAGGTGCCTCAATCCAGGATTTAACATTGATATATATATATATACACACAGGTGTAATCAAAGTTGTTCAACCCCCATTTAAAATCAGGTTTATTGTCAGGATTTACAGACTGTGGCGAAAGTAACCTCGCCACTGGTTCTTGGAGGGGCCTGCTTGCCAGCCTCTTGCCCCAGGACTATGGCCCATGTATTAGACTTTGTTCATGCCTTTTCCCCTCTATGGTTTGGTATATGGGGCTTACCGAACAGATTAGACTAATGCTGTTCGTATACCGAATGAACTGTCAAACGGACCGACCACCCAGAACAGTCGTGTGCTGCTTATTACCCTTATTGACCTCGCTAACCGCAACATTCGACGTGGTTTGCTGGGTGGCCATCGTTCGTATGTGCGAACACATGGTGTCGGCCATCTTTAGCTGCGAACACATACAGTGATGTTTGGTCGTCAAGTGCATGAAACTATAATCGGACACTTGACAGCGTGAACACCGCTGTGACTTCCATCTCTTCGTCCGTTCGACTGGAAACACAGTCCCGAACAAGAGACACAGACTAAGTATACTTAAGAACTGGTTGCATTTGTATTTCTGTTATATTATGAACTACCGAACTAGACCAACCGCAAGCCCTGATTCTCTGGATCTGTTTTGGGCATGGGACCATGCATGCGGTCGGTCAAACTAAGACTTCCATGGAAATCCTGAACCCCTGAACTGATCTGGGGGATTTTTAGATATGTTGGTCTCCATTGGGGTTTCCATGTGTTTTGGGGGTATTTTTAATATCTTATAAAAATATGTTGTTTTTGTCTGGAGATAATTGAGTTAATACAGTGCTTGACTCAATTATCTCCCAGGTACAGAGGAGGGATTAACCTATTATGTATGGGAGTGTCCTGGATCTGAGAGCCAATGTGATTATGTATTTGTTTCTACTGTGGTTTACTCTTAGGTCCAGGAGAGAGTGCCCCTTGCATGGGGATCTGCACATAAGGCCAGTTGTGGCTACCATTAAACAGTTCCTCTTCATCCTCAACATAAAGCCTCGTCTCATGTGTGGAGGGGACAGCTATATTCGCTCTGGGGATTGCTATATCACTATACTCCCCTGGGATTATAATCACTTGCTTTTTAAAGAGAATACTGCTACACTCTCTTGGAGAAGAGGTATACCCACTGGAAGCTGGATCCTGGTGTGGGTCCAGGGTCCTGGTCTTGGGAGGACAGCGAGACCCCAACCAAGCTGTAACGCTGGAAGTGGGGACTACAGTGCTGATAATGTCTGGTGCGGTGCTTGTGGAACTCGGTAAGCACTAGGAGCATCGATTGGCGGAGGCCCCCACCGGGCCCCTTTTTGCCTCCCTAAATATAGTAAAATCTTACTTGTATTCAAGTCTGAAGGTGCTGGCTCTGCCTGTGAACTACCCCTGTCTGCTGACATCAGAAGTGGTGGTCTGAGCCAATCACAATGCTTCCCCATAGGATTGGCTGAGACTGTCAAGGAGGCAGATCAGAGGCTGTCAACCACAGCCCTAGCCAATCAGCATCTTCTCATAGAGATGAATTAAATCAATGCATCTCTATAAGGAAAGTTCAGTGTCTGCTTGCAGAGGGAGGAGACACTGAATGGCAGTGCTTCTTACTCTGCAGCACTGCCCAAGAAGGCAGCTTTAGCAGTCATCTAAGGAGGGGCCAGTGGAGTTATCACTAGGCTGTAATGTAAACACTGTATTTTCTCTGAAAAGACAGTGTTTACAGCAAAAGGCCTGAAAGGAATGATTCTACTCACCAGAACAAATGCAATAAGCTGTAGTTGTTCTGGTGACAATAGTGTCCCTTTGAAATACAAAAACAGGCAAGGGGTTTGTTGAGTGTTATGTTTGACTGTAGGATAGAAATAAGTCAAAATAATGTTCTACAAAGTTAAGAGAAGAGATAATCGCCCTTCACAAACAAGGAACAGGATACAAAAAGATAGTGAAGGCACTTGGTGTTCCCAGAGACACCACTGGAAGCATAATTCGCAAGTTCAACGTTGAAGGAACAGTGGTTACACTTTGTGGATGGGGCAGAAAAAGAACGCTATCAAATGATCTCAAGCATCCCTCACATTCCACCAAGGCTTGGTTGCAGGAGAAGTCTTGGAAAATTCTACAGTGGCCATCACAGCCTTCTGAGCAATGGGCTAAGATTCTTCAGGAACACTGTCAGAAGCTGGTGTCTGGCTATGCATCTCGTTTGCAGCAGGTAGTAACTGCAAATGGGTGCTCTACTAACTCCTAAAATGCTTACCATGAAGGGGTTGAATCATTTGAATCATTTTGAGATTGGAGAAGTCATTATAAGTTACATTTTCAGTTGCCACTTGAAGCATTGGAAACCACTTAAAGCATTTTTTGTGTTGAGCTATTTCAATTGCAAACAGCTGAAAATCTTTACAGTTTGACAATAAATCTGATTTTCAGGCTGCATAATTTTGCTTACAACTGTAGCTATACACACTATATATATATGAAATATAGGATGCAGACAGTTTTTTTTACCTTAAATTGAATGCCTAATATGAATTCAAATTATGATAGTAAGCCTCTATAGAGTCTATAGACTGAAGATTTAAAAAAAAAAAACACACCATTGAATAAGGCATAAGAAAACTAAGACCTAGTATCTGCAGCTGCAGCAAGGCCATCCCTCCTTCGCTGGCACAAATGAGAATGTGACCAATGACAGGTTTTTCATTGATAAGTCTTGCAGACCAACTACCAGCCAGAGCTGTATTACAGTTCATGGAGACATCTTTGCAATGTAAACTTACATTCATTGTATATTAACCTTGGAATCATAGTAGGGAAGACAAGCATGTTGCTCTTACAGTGACATTTCTGATATCCAAAGACAATCTATTAACCACTGTTTGCCAATGATTTTTGACAAATATTTACTATAGGTTTCCAAGAATCAAAGCTAAGCAAATGTAGCACAGTAAAATACAACCAATGTAAGGTGAAACCTTTTTTCACATGGTTGTCTTCAATAATGAATATGTTTGAAAATTACTTTTTCTATGACTTAACGTCTAACTGCAACAACAAATATGAAAAATGATTGAGATTTTATGCAGCACAGTGTCTAAACCATTCCAGTTTTCCAGTATTGTTTTTTTTGTTAATATACACCACATGTAACTTGTTTCACACAGAGTTTTCAAACAAAACAAATCAATCAATTTAAAATCCAATTTTGCTTTAGTTATTGCGCACTCTAAAGCAGTAATGTGTAAACTGAATTTAATTTTGCAGCTGTCAACGGCTTAGCCAATGAACTCCCACCTGAGAATTACCTCCTCAACTACTGTTTTTGTATAAGATTAATAAACATGTAGCCGTGCATGTATATTGATGCAGTCAAGGCATATGCCAAATTAGCTCTTCACATTGAGATTATTATAATAATAATACAAAATAAAAATAAAAAAGAATTACACACGGGAAAATGCAGGGCTGCACTGGTTTTTGGTTTTGAGGTATGGTAACATTAAATAACATATATGGAATAATCCATAAACAGATTAAAGGAGGAACACTCCAAACACCGTAACCACTACAGCCTGCAGCATAGCTTAGGCAGTGAATAGGGAATCAAGAGTGTGTATGTCAGGAATGTAGTGTGTGTGTGTGTAGAAGATTTAGTGTGTGTATAGGATCCAGAGTGTCTGTACAGGATCTAGTGTATGTGTTCATAGGAGATCCAGAGTAAGATCCCAGTAAGATGGCATTTTGACAACCTTTCTGGGGTCACCCAGGCATCTGCACCACATCCACCATATCCAGTCATCTCCACCAGGTATAGAAGAGGGCTGGCCTGGGCATTTTTTTATTACAGCAACCCAGTGAGGAAGTGTGGGGCCAGAGAGAGGGTCTTTTGGCATCACCAATGACAAGCACAGTCCATTTGAAAATAAGCATGTTGGTTAAATGCTCTTCCAGGGCAAATCATGCACAGAACCCAGATGAACAGCTCTTGCATGAGAAAAGGCGTTGTGTTTATTCTGCAGAGCACATGCAAATTTAATGACACAGTTGTGCTGTTCTTGCTTGTAACTGGTCTCTGGTGTCTCCAAACCAGTGACAAACCAGAAGACAAAAGTGCTCGGAAAGCATATTGTGCATGGGTTTGGAGGCTGCTAGTGGGATTGTGTGTGTGTAGAGTGAGCTAATTGCGGTATGGTGTTTTGTGTAAAAAGGTTGGTTTCAGTCATGTTGTGTTTGTTGTGTAAAGTTGTAGCTAAGGGCTGTAGAGAATGAGTGTGTGTGTGTATAGGGGGCATAGTGTGTAAAGGGGTGTAGGTAGTGTGTATAGGTGAAATAGTGTGTGCAGGGGCTGTAAAAAGTGTGTATTTAGGGAATATAGTGTGTGTTTGCGTACAGGGGATCTAGTGTGTGAATAGGGAAGAGTGTGTATGTCAGGAATGTAGTGTGTGAGTGTGTGTGTGTAGAAGATTTAGTGTGTGTAAAAGATCCAGAGTGTCTGTACAGGATCTAGTGTATGTGTTCATAGGAGATCCAGAGTGTGTATGTCAGGAAAGTAGTTTGTGTATAGGATCCAGAGTGTGTGTAGAGGATCTAGTGTGTGTGTAGGGGATTCAGAGTGTGTATGTCAGGAATGTAAGGTGTGTACATGATCTAGTATGTTCGTAAAGGATCCAGTGTGTGTTTAGGGTATCTAATGTGTGTTTGTGCAGAGGATCCAGAGTGTGTGTAGGAGATCTAGTGAGTGTGTGTAGAGAACCCAGAGTGTATGTAGAGGGATCCAGAGTGTGTATTATGGATGTAGTGTGTGTGTGTGTGTGTGTGTGTGTGTGTGTGTCTGAAATGTAGCGTGTGGAGTGTTTGTATAACAATTGTAATGTCTGTAAGGGATCTAGCAAGTGGTGCAGTGTGTGTTTGAGGAGTTCAATGTGTGTGCTGGGTGCAATTTGTCTGTGAGGGGCGCAGTGTGTGTATGAGGGGTGCAATCTGTGTGTCA